TATATATATATATATATATATATATACATATACATATACACACAAATACCCCAAACATTTAATCGGTAGTGCATATATTGTTAATCATATCCAAAACTCTGACACTTTTGAAGTGAAATCACAGATATTATGTTTTATATGTGTGTATGTTTCAGCCCAGGAGCTGATGCGGCAGCAGGAGAAAGTGCAGCTGTTGGAGAGAGGTCAGCGTCTGGCTCAGGAGCAGCTCTCAGAGCGTGTGATGGAGGTGGTGCGGGCAGAGAAAGCCCAGAGGAGACTCCAGGCAGAGCTCAAGAGAATAACAGAGAGTCTGGAAAGCACCCAACTGGAGCTCCAGGACTCACGGTAAACCCAAAACCAGGGAGTCAGCATGGTCCAGTTAGCCCCTGCTGGTAGATTCCACAACTACACAATTATTTGGGAAAAATGGATGGCCATTCAAAAGTAACCATGTGTTCTGATGAAACTGTTTGCAGCAAAATACAATCATAGCAGTATTTTATTATAATTGACGTCACAGCTCAACACAATTTCCCTGTGAAATCAAAGTGATTAGTCACATGGAAATTGCAACTCAAATTATTGGCTCAAAAATGCTTAAGTGTCCAGAATTAAACACCTGTGAGCAAAAATGGCAGCGTGCATGTTGCTTACTTTCTCAGCATTGACTGTTTTCCAGTGTGCTTGAATGCAGTTTGAGTGATTAGTTGGACAGCATAGTACAGCAGACAGCTTTCCAAACTCAGTTCCTCAGGATGACACTCTCATATCACACTCATATTAAGGTTGCTAGTGAAGCTATGAGCCGATTAATCCAAATTTCTCAGCTTTATACTGCCTTCAGGTCATGTCTGAATGATCATATTTACCAGATGAGCGCACATGAACGCCACCACAATGCCAGTATTACCAGTGGGAAACTGGATTTTCCTTGAGCCCTGACTTTCTGAGTTTGGGGCAGGTCTATTGTAGGCATATTTCAGGTTAAATACAGCTTAAGCTCTATGGATGGCAGCTGTCGATTACTACAGAAAATAATTTAGTAATTTAAAATGAAGGTAATAATTTAAAACTACATTTCCCATGATGACAGCAGAATGATAATAGAGTGCACCGGTCGGGTTCCGAAAGTAAAAATATTCTATTCATTTTCTCCATAGAGGAACTGATTTTTAACACTAACTTAGAAACCTTTACAGACAGACCTACTGTGAGCTACTGTGTTGTTAATCATCGGTGCGTATTATTTCAAATTATTTTTTGAATAGTCAGGTTTAACAGTAGGATTACTGGTGAGAAACTATATTACTCATTGTTTTGCAAAGAAATTTCGGTCTCTTCATTTTAATGTCCAATTCTTGCCATTAACAAACCATTTACTACGACTTTTGCCTCAATAAACTCCTAATTTGCTGCTTGTTAATAGTAAGGTTGTTGTTAAGGTATTGGGTAGAATTAGGGATGTAGAATGCGGTCATCCAGAATATGTGCTTTATAAGTATTAATAAACAGACAATATGTTAATAATAGGCGTGCAAATAAGCAACTAGTTAATAGTTAGAATTGGTCCCTATACTAGAGTGTTACCCGACATTTCTGCCAATCAGAGAATGATGACAAGCAAATTGTGCCTAAGAACTCTTTAGCGACCCTCTTCTCCCATGAAGCACTGACAATAACCAATAACATGATCTAGTTAGTCTCACTTCATGCAATTTCTTTGAATAAAAAGCTATTTGATCGCGTAAAGGTGTAAATGCCCTTCAAAATGCATTCAGTTGCATTGCCCTTCAAAAAAAAAAAAAAATGCCCAGTTTGCAATGCGATGGCACAAACCATCCCAGATGCAACTGTATGAATGCTTTGGTTGTTGAAGCCACATATGTGAATTCTACTCTTCCCAAAACTTAAAAAAGTAATATATCAAAATTTTACTCATTCCAAAATGGCAACAAAAATTAAGGTGTGAAAGAGTGTTATACCAGCTTCTGGTAACCAGATAGCACAACCGCAGCACCAGATATGAGCTTCTTTCTTTAGAAAGCACATGCAAATGAAACTTAACAGTCAGCATCACATCTTAAAGTTAAACACACAGTCGTCTTTATTAAAAGTGGTGAATGCTAAATTATCTCACCAGTGCTGATGATGTTCTTTCAACTGTTGCAGCCTTTGATTTTGAAATGATCTAAAATGCAGCACATATCTTTTGCTTTTGGTGACGTGAACACTGTTGAATTTGCATCAGATCAGATTTATATCAGTGCTGTCAAACGATTAATTGCGATTAATCGCATCCAAAATAAAAGTTTTTGTTTACGTAATATATGTGTGTGTGCTTTGTATATTTATTATGTATATATAAATACACACACATGCACATATATATTTAAGAGAAATATGTTATGTTTATATATTAAATATATTTATAAATAATATGAATATAAATGTATACATGTAAATATTTTCTAAATATATACTGTATATGTGTGTATTTATATATACACACACATATTATGTAAACAAAAACTTTAATTTTGGATGCGATTAATCGCGATTAATCATTTGACAGCACTTTTTTTTTTTTTCATTTTGCGGAGACACATTTACTGCATGTGGCCAAGTGTAAATGAAACAGTTTTATCAAACCAGATAGGTATCTGATTAATAAAAAAAACCATGAAGTGACTGTGTGTAAATGGGCACCATTATGTTCCAAACTACACACAGTCATAATTACATAATTATACTATGAACCCATAATTATGAGCTTCCCAGGAGGACTTGCATGCAGCATCAGCTAGGGAGAGAGAGAATGGGATTGGGACTCAAACCAGGTTCCCAATGAGCCAACAGCTCTTACATAACGTGTCCTGAGCATGTGCACAGTCCACTGCGCCGAGTTTTATTAAGCGAAGCTGTAATTCTCAGGACAGCTCAGAGTGTGTTTTTGCCTTCATGACCCTTGGCATGCTGCTTTTACCTCTCGCTCTCTCCTCCTATGAGAAAGTGTTCTGCTCAATGGAGGAATCACCGTGGGTCTGGATCCATGTGTGAAACAGATGTTTAACTGGCTGGAAGAGGACGAGAGAGTGCATCTTAACTATCACCTTGCCAAAGGTCTCTTGTTCAGTCAGCCATCCGCTGGTGCTCAGCACAACTTCCCCTCTGCCAATACGCATTACAGAGGATTTAGTAATTAAGTGGTAAGTTGAGGACTAAATTGGGTGTTTGTGGGCCACAGATCTACCCCGAGGTCCCTGCAGCCATGCAGATAGAGGATTCTAATTGCTAGGGATATTGATCATTCCCGGCGAGGGTGTGCTGGGGGATTTCGCGAGCGATCGATTAGCTGTTACCGTGGCCGCTTCGCCAATAGCAGAGAAAGAGGTAAGAGAGACGCGTGGGGCTTTCGCAGGATCTCCCCACGCTCTTCACCTCCTGAAAAAGTGACATGTCACCTAGTCAACCGCCCGCTTCGGTGCCCAGACACCCTCTTTTGTCCTTGACTTGTTTGGGTTGCATCTGAAGGCCGAGAAGGTTTGGGTTGGTCAATAACTCTCACTTCTGCTGCGTTAAGCTTTTCTCTTGCCTTTCCAGTTTTTTTGCGAGTGATTTGAGACGCTGTGGTGGGTCTGATTTGTTGTAGTTGGGTGTGATTTGTTGATCCATGCTGAAACGGTGCATGAGCTCATCGCCGCCCTGCTCTCGTAATTAGTTTCGGCCACGCTCATTAAATATTCACGCTTGCCTTCTCTAATTAAATCTAACCTCTCTCTCATGCTTACCGTTCCTGCATGTTATCATGCCTCAATTAAGATGCGTTCTGGTCTGTCTGACTGACTATAGTCGAGTTGGAGAGAGATGTTCTGGAAGTGTCCCATTCTCATGCCCGATACACAATTTGCTCTGTAAATAAAAATCCCACACTCCATGCCGTGCTAAAAAAAGACCAGCTTAAACCAGATTTGGCCTCAGATGGTCCAGAGTCTGTTCACTGACCATCTAATGCGTGAATGTCTTGTGAAGTGAAAAGCTGCGTGTTTGTAACAAACAAATTTAACTTGGAACTGTCGCTTCTGGGCAAAATACAAGTCCATAATCATTAATAATGCTTCCTCCATTTTGACGGCACCCATTCACTGCAGAGGATCCTTTTGATGGAGAAATAAACTCATCTACATCTTGGATGGGCTGAGGTGAGTAAATTTTCAGCAGATTTTTATTTTTGGTTGAAATACAGAGTTCTGGCATGAAACTCTAGATGGCACAGTCCGATAGGTCTAACTCAATCTGACCTAATGACATCATTATCACATGGCACAGCTGATTGGTTCTCTCCTGTATCGGTAGCCAATGAGCTCGCTGCTCAACATTCAAATATATGACTAGTGCTTGCTGTAGCAGTTGCAGCTTGCTTCAGAAACCCTCCACCTTCCCCAGCTCCACCTGTATAGATCTGCTACGAGGTGATTCGTGTACACTATATGGGGGTTATTTCAATATTCCTTACATGCTCACAGCAGCATGTTGTGGATGTATTGGCAGTAGCAAGTCTCGGTACTTGCTCTGCCGCAGCAGCAGCGTAACAGATCTGTTGTGATACAGATACATAATCGATACAGATCTGAAATATGTTTAAAGTGTAGTGCTGAATGTACTGGCTAACTGGCTGTAATTTCTATTGAAAACTTTGTATTTAAATATATTTGTAAGTACATATTTGTAATGATGAAGTTACAGTTTATTACATTTAAAATCTATTAACCTTAAATGTAATACTGAATACCACACTGCAATTAAAATATATCAATAATAATCAAGTACTTTACATTTGCTTTAGTATGTTAGTCAACACATTAAAATAAGTGTACTTCTTTAAAGTATGACAAAGGACAGACTCTTACGCTGAAAACTGGCAGTTCTTGGCAAGAATAAAACAGCAAAGTGTACCAGACTTTATACTGGCTACAAAGGACTAAGCTCAATGGAATAGTTCACCCAAAAATGAAAATTCTGTCATTATTTACTCACCCTCATTTCGTTCCAAACTCGTAAGACTTTCATTCATCTTTAAAACAAAAATGTAGATATAATGACACCTGATATATCTGTCCCTCCACTGAAAGTCCATTCCACCCACACTTCAAAAAGATGAATGAAAGTCTTACTGTATGTGTTTGGAACAACTTAATGTTAGTAAACGATGACAGAATTTTAATCTTTGGGTGAACTAACCTTTTTAAACTATTATGAATTCCAGTATGGTTTTTGCTGGTTAGTTGCTGGTTTGGTATGCCCGTAGATCATCCCTGGTGGCCCCCATGGAAAAAAAAAAAAACAACCTAAAGTGGTGACCAGCATATTTCCAGCAGGATGTGGTGATTTGATACTTTGAAACTCATATTAAGTTGTCCGGACTGGTGGAGGATGGAGTTTGGTAAAATAGGGCTCATGTTGTCCTCTTCAGGAGGATGCTGGAGCGTGTGAAGACAGAGGCCAGCAGCAGCAGACAGGAAGCCGTGAGACTCCAGCAGGAGAAACAGCAGATCCAGGAAGAGCTGGACATCAGCAGAGAGACCATCTCAGCCCTGCAAACTAAGGTGAGAGCCACTTCACACTCATCCCGCTCATATTCAGAGCTTTAAACGGCAGCATTATTAAACAAAAGTGCTTCACAAAGCCCCCTTGTAAGGTCATGATCCACTGTATTGATCTGTATCGATTACTGTGTGCCTGAGGAACCACGCATGCGTGCATGCATTCTCATGTGTGTCTGTGGTTTTGTGGAAAGAGCATGAGCTCCACATGTTTGTGTAAACCTGATGCTCATGATATCCAGCATGATTTGAGAATAATCCATTTTGTGGAGGAAAGAACATCTGACTGTCTGTACAGTGTTCTTAGAAACAATGTCATGCCTTTGCTAATTTGATTAATTTAATCTGTCTATCTGTGTGTGTGTGTGTGTGTGTGTGTGTGTGTGTGTGTGTGTGTGGTGGAGATGTGTGAACAGGAGAAGCTTCTAAACACACATCAGGAGTGTGTTTCTGAGCTGCAGCTCACCATCCACAGACTACAGGAAGAGGAAGTGAACAGCCAGACGCAGCTGTGCAGGAGAGAACTGGAGATCAGAGATGAACAAGTGCAGAAGCACTACCAAGAGGTATTATGGGAACACCACATATTAATAATCCAGCCTAATCTACAGGTGCTATAACCCATCCGAAGCTTGTCATTAGCTAGTACAAAGAAGTTTAAGTAATTTATCAGCTGGTGGGGACTTGGTTGAGTTAGTTAACCATATTGTAGTAGATAACTTGAACTGGTTAACCAGTATGGTCTTAAAGGAATATTTTAAAAATTATGTCTTGTGATATTTTATGGTGGTGTGCACTACATTAAAAGTTGAGGGCCGGTAAGATTTTTTTTTTTCATGTTTTTAAAAGTCTCTTATGCTCACTACGGCTGCATTTATTTAAACAAAAATACTGTTAATAGAAATAATGTAAAGTAATGTTACTATTCAAAATAATTGTTTTCTATTGTAATAATTTTTTCCAAAAAAAAAAAATCTTACTGACCCCAAACTTTGAAAAGCAGTGTAAGATAAATGTTGCATTTCTTGCTGCTCTTTTCTCAGATGAGCGCTCTGCAGGCTACAGTGTCCAGGCTGAAGCTGGATCTGGAGCAGGAGCGGGAGAGGTGGAGGCAGGGGGTACGAGAGGCAGCCAAGGCCGATCAGAGAGGGAGAGAGCTGAGACTGGAGCTCAGCACAGCACAGGCCTCTCATAAAGAGTATATGGAGCTGGTACGCTCACTTCCACTAACACACAGACACAATGTGAACCATGCCAACACACTGGAGACAGATATCACCAGTTAGCTGTGTGTTCTAGCTGGCTGAGTACAGTCGAGAGGTGACGGCCCAGAGGAGTGAGCAGGCCCGTCTGCAGCAGTGCCTGATCCAGCTGACAGAGGAGAGGGAGACTCAGGAGGAGAGAGTCAAACAGATGAGCGCAGATCTACAGAGAGCGCACATTGAGAGCAGGTGCTCTCAGGAGGAGGTAAGACTGATGCATATGCATATTGAGATTCATTGTTCAGCCTATATTTGTTACCATTTACATTTATTCATTTGGCAAGATGATTTTATCCAAAGCAACTTACATTTCATTCAAGATATACTTTTTATTATTAGTTCATGCATTCCCTGGGTAATCGAACCCTTGATCTTTGCGTCGGTTGTCCCATGCTGTACTATTTATGTATTCAGTAACATCAGCTAGAGGAACATCAGCCACTAGATTAATTGCAGCTTTGTAGATGTATATGTATGGTCTTAATTCAGTACGAAATTGAATATGCAAAATTCCTCATAAATGCAATATGTAAAGTAGCAACATACTTCTTTATTTCAACTTGCATTTTCATACCCATATGTGCAACATTCGGTGCAAAATGATTCAAATGAATGTAATTAGCATTTTGTGTTTCCCATACTTAGTTTCATTTCATTAAAAGTAAAATGCATTATTATTTCCAGAATTAAAATGGAAACATATTCAAGGATATTTTATTTTTTAATTCAATTAGTAAAAAGGAAATGTACATGTTTTTTTTTTCTTAAAGTGGTCATAGGATGCTACATGCACTTTTACAAGTTGTTTGAACTGAAATGCGTGTTGGCAGTGTGTGTACACAACCACCCTATAATGATAAAAATCCACCCAGTGTTTTTTTTTTTTATCTGGTTAAATGTTTTCCCCTTTCTCAAATCGAGCTGATCTCAGATGCCTGTCTGTGTGACGTCACACAGACAGGCCCCTCCCACGATAGTTTGATTGACAGTAGCGTTTCAGCACAGACTGGACTGGTGTCTTACCTTAGACCCGCCCTGAGTGAGCTGTCATCAGTCCGCCATTGTTTCACCTCTGGAGCAGATGTAGACAAGAATGACTCCTAAGCGATTGAGATGTTCTGTTGTTGGATGTAATAATGAACATAGCAGTCGTCATTTCCTCCTGACATCTGAGCCGCAGAACTGGCAGTGTATTACATTGTTTCTGAAGGCGATGCACCCCTGATCTACATATATGCGTCTATGTTTACGCGAATCATTCATGATCCAGCCTCATCTACAGAAGAAGTGAGTATAATGTTTTGTAATGAATCTTTGCAAATCACCTTTCCTAATAATGTGCTAATTAGCAAGTTTCAAGATGAATG